GTTGAGCAATGGTATATGGCTGAAATTTTTGTGGATTAAATTAAGGAAAATTTTACCTATATTAGTTTTAACATTTTTGTTAAATGGTGGGTTAAACCAAAATAGGTTGCGTTTTCTATTCTTATGCTTATTGTTGGCATTCTTATTAATGTTTATGTATTCTAGCTTAACTTTGTATTTACTTTTTTCTAATGCATCTACATATTTGGTTTTATATCTGTCAGAAATAATTTTGATGCAAGAGTTAGTTGAGAGTCTGTATTGAGAGTTGTTTAAAATTCCTGGTGTGTGGTTGGATTCTTTGCTAATGTATGCATGGTTATAAAGTTCTTTAGTATAAGGCATTTATATTCCTTTCGATAGATTGAAAATAGTATCCAGAAAGTTGATCACCTCGGCATTGGTGTTAGTCGTGATATTTAGTCCATGATCCTTGAAGAATCTGATGAAGTGTTTTCTAAGTTGATCTGTTTGTTGTGGATTGGTGCCATGTAGGAGTATAACTCAGCCGTCTCTGTATAGACCAATGTTTATCTTATCGAAAGTATACCTAAGTCTCCACAGTAGCAAAATGCCAACCAATTCACATGCTTCTGCAGAATTAAACGCTTCCATTGCTATAGAAAAGTTTAGTCTGTATATATATATATATATATATATATATATATATATATATATACACACACACACACACACATATACATACACACACACAAACACACTCACATATACATGCATACATTTATATATATATATATATATATATATATATATATAAAAATAAACATCAGTAAGTATGAAGCCAAATAATGAAAAAATAAAAATTATTTTATGCAACAAATGTTTGTTTTCACATAATCTTGTTCATTTTCAATGGAATAATTTTTCCATTACAAATCTCTCTTTTTTCTTCAAATGTCCAATGGAAATTCTAAAATCAACATTCAGCCAATAACTGAAAATTCCAGACAAAGAATCAGCCAATGTCTGTGTGAAACTATGGATTTATTGATGTGTGTGTGTGTATGTACATATATATATATGTGCAATTAGATATATACACCATTAATTATGATTTAGATATATAAGAGGAGGTGCAGAAAAATTCTCAGGCTGATCAAGAAACCCTTAAAAAAATCTGATGTTTGTTCATTTCTGATATAATGGAATATGCATACACCTGAGTTCCCCCTCACTGGAATATGATTGGCTGGTGTCCGTCATAAATACAGATGGATGTGTAGGTACAACAGTGTCTAAGTCTATGACGATGCCCATTGGACTATGTCATTGGCTATTCTATTGGTCTACACTTATTACCTATGACTACGATGAGTACCGCTCGATTACTGCTACTGTGTACTACTTGGTTATAGTAGCCAGAACCCCTTAACTACTTCAATCAAATATATCCCTTGTCAGGACATATCAACTTCTTAGAAAGTGGGTCAAATTAAAATTTGGGGGGAGGGGGCTTTCCCCCCTGTGTGTGCATACAGGTATATTGTAGAATTTTTGTGTCTATTTGAAGATTAGGAAGTTTATCAAATATAACTCCATTTGTTACTCAAAATATTTCATGCTTATTACTTTTTCTTTTCTCAGCTAATGGTTTCATGGTTAGAGAATTGATCTGAAGGCTACAAAAGTCAGGTTTTGAAACTCTACAAGTTAGAATGGAATTCAAATTAAAAATTGGTAATTCTTTCGATCAAAGAAATGCATTATCAATTTGACTATTAATATTTACAAAGCATGATGCAAAGTTAAATTTGGTAAAATAAAATTAGAAGATTGTGTAGCCCAAATATTCTACATGAGGAAGGTTAGCATTTTGTGTCTTAATTTTTTTTTTTTTATTTGGTCTTGAACATTGACTTTTGACATTATTAGGAATTACACAAGTACTTCAGCCATAAAAATGTTCTGATAAGAGTTGAAGTATTTGCATTTATTGCTTGAATAATTAATCAAATGTATAACATTGATTAGAAGCCTAATGAAAAGTTCCAAAAGTAAATGGGTTCTGCATGAATTTTGAAAAATGAATCTTGGTCAGTATTTAAATATCTTTATTTTCTTGCTCAACACAGAAAAAGAAATCATTTTTAGATAAGATTGTCACTGGTGGTGATAAATACATTCATTACTGGAATCAAAAGCCCACAAAATCAGGGTTAGATCCAGGAGAATCTTCAACATCTCGATTTCAATGGAATCTATTGGCAGATGATGGGAGTTCTCTGCATTTGGTGTAATTCAAATTCATGACTTGTAAGAATCTGGATACTCTGTTACTGCACAATGTAATTGAGCAATTGGCTCATTTCAATGTTGCTGCATGTCTGCTGTTATAAATACAAAGCTACAGAGAGAAAGTTAAGTTTTAAATTTCTTCCACATAAAGCATATTCTCCAAACCTGACCATTTTTTAAAACTTCATCCAGCATTCTTTGAGCTGTGCCTCCACTGAGTTCAAGGCAATCAAAAATGCCTTGAATTAATTGAAAACTGGAATAGTTCTTTTATGATGGAATATACAATTTACACAAAAGTTGACAAAAGGACTACAGAATATACTTTGATAAATATACAATAGTGGTAATATACTGGAAGACCTAAATAGATCCATTTTTATAGCACTGCCTAAGAAGCCAGGTGTAAACAAATGTGAACTCCATTGGACAATCAGTCTAATGAGCCATATAACAAAATTTAGAATCTGAATTCTGATTAATAGAGTGTGCAACAGGATCAAACTAGAAATAGAACATGAACAGCAGGTATGTTAAAGACACTGGAACGAGAAAGGCAATATTTATTCTCGGAATGATATCAGAAAGAATAATACAAATGCGGAAGTATGTGTACCTGTGTTTTATAGCTTATGCAAAAGCATTTGATAAATTATATCATAAAAAACTGTTGGAGCTGCCTGTTAACCTTGACATATTTGGGAAGGATATTAGAATAATCCAGAACCTATACTGGCAGCAAACCACCTGCATTTGGAAATAAAATGAATTCACTAAATATACAAAAATAGAATGGGGTGTAAGACAAAGATGTGTCTTCTCACCAGACTTATTCCTATAATCCATTTACTGAGGTGATTCTGAGAGAATTGGAAATCCTACCAGGGTTCATTGTTGGAGGCCACAATCTTATCATCATAAGATAGGCAGACGATACAGTGTTGATAGCAGACATAGAAAGGAAACTCAAAAAAAATCCTACAGAAGGTAGTCAAAGAAAGCAAGAAGAAAGGACTAAACAACAACTGCAAGAAGACAGAATAAATAAATAGTTGTTAGCAAAAAGGACAGCTCAACATGCAAATTACAAAATGGAGATACCAAAATCAAACAAGTACAAAGTTCAAATATCTTAAATTGTTTTAATAGAAGATAGAAAGTGCTACACAGAAATCTGAAGGTGCATTGGGATAACGAAAGATGCCTTCTAAAAGCTAACCAACTATTAAGGAACAGGAAAATTGCATCACAAATGAAGAAAAGAGTACTGAGCTGTTATGTAATATCAACCCTCCTCTATGGCAGTGAATATTGGGCAATCCTATCAGAGAAGAAAAGACTAGAAGCAAGAGAAATGTTATTCTACAGAAGGATGCTGAGAATTCCATAGACTGAACATGTGAGCAATAACAAAGTTTTAGTGAAAATGGAAAAACATTTATACTTATCAGAAAGAGATAGTTGAAATTTTTAGGGCACATAATGAGGAAAGAGGGCTTGAAAAATTTGACACTCACAGGATGTATTGGAGGCAAGAGGGGCACAAGAGAGCAGTACATAACCTATCTAGTGAGCCTGTGTGAATGTATAGCAGAAAAGGATTTAGGAGAGATAGCAAAAAGGCAAAATTTACAAAGGACAGAAAATTGTGGAGAGCTATAATTGCCAACATCTTGAAGGGACATGGCATATAGAAAAAGTAATGAATAATGCTATGAAGTTTTTGTTCAAAAGGCTAGAAAATTTTGCATCATTTACCAACTTTTTGTCAATAATTGTGACATACCAGTAAGAAGACCTTGTTAAAAATAACAGAATAAGTCAAAAATTATTTTTCTACATTTCTTTCAAACATGCACATCTATAGAGTAGTTATACTTGCAATCAATATCTGTCTCAACACCAAAGTTGAATAAATTGATTTTTTATTTATTTTTCACTCATGTACAAAAGTAAATGACTAAAGTGTACTGATATCTGTTTTTCGCTGTAGAAACACTAACAGCAACAAATTTACTTTGAAGGTAAGGACAAATTTTTAGGCAAAGATATTTAAATATTTTGCAGATGGCAAAAATTCCTTACTGTTTTGGGCTTCCTGATGAAGACCTTTGATTTTCCGAAAGCATAATCTCTACTCGAAAATCCCATGCTCTCCATGAGGACCTTGACACCTTCTTGAATTGGTCCATCCCAGTGTGGCCAGGTGGCATGAGCTAACATTTTGTAGCGGTATAAAAAGTGACCATAGCTCTGTCGAAAGGCATAACCAGCTCTTCTTACTTGGACATTCTCCATTAGTCTGCAAGAAAGGAAAAAATAGCAGAATTTTTAAAGCAGGAAAATGATATGAATGCACTTTTAAATATTTCATTTCAATGTTTTAGATTCTATCTGCATATATTCGTCCCTACATAAACATTTAGTACATTAGGCTAATAAAATCAAAGACAAAAAAAAAAAAAAAAAAATGATTTTGTGATTTGCCAAAGAACAGTATAAAAGTTTTATTTTGTTGAACATCATTTTTTTTTTTATTTGTAATCAAGAAAAGAATGAATCTTAAGTGCTGGCAAGATTTGAAAAAAAGAATAAAATTAATGTAAAAAACAAAAACAAAAAAAAACAGGAGAAACAAATATTTTTTGTTTTGAATGGACTATCAGACAAAGCAACATAAAAAATGAAAAACTAATGCTCTCCCTTCTTCCATCTCAGCTGCTAGTGATATGCCCACATTTGTGCAGTTGGGTCAGACCCCGCACCCCTCAACCACCACCCTCATGCCTATCTCAGCTGCTAGTGACCTACCCACCCATATTTGTGTAGTTGGAATCAATGTTCAACTGATGGAAAGGGAATATCTTTATATAAATTTTTTCAATCTACAAAATGCATCTCAAATTTTTGGAGCTGTATTAAGATTACAAAAATGCTACAGATGATATGTGTCAATCTTGATCTCTGAGATTTGAGCCAAATTAAACTTGGGATCTTTAATCTTAAATACTGGGGAATTTATAACCTTTTGTTTGGGGGAAAAAGGCCATGTTTTATTCATCTACAAATCTTGTAACAAAGTTATTACAATGTTCAAGAATATATGTATTCAGTTTCAAGTAATTCCATAAAACATACTGCATACAATATTTGTTTGTACCAATCTTTATATTATGTGCACAACATTTTCTTTATTCCCCACCAAGCATATTGACTTCTGCTACCTTACTATCCACCAACCCATTAGTGATTCTATTCGAAGAGAAAAGGATTGATATGATTCACTGATAATAAATATTTACTTAATATCAAATTTTTGACAAGATTAGAATAACAATTGTCACACTAATATTCAGCCACAAAAAAATTTATATTTTTACACAGTAAAAGCATTGTGAATTACAAAAAGAAACCATACACAGTGGCAAAGAAAAAGAGAAATATTTTTTCAGTAAATATTGTTTTTTGCTGGCCCTAAATTTACAGTGGCTTTGCTTTCTTTAAGTACATAGGCTATCTGAAGCGAAGATCTGAACTTCAGGACTCCCATTAAATCCCAGTGGGATGGTCAAATTGAGCTCCATTTGCAAGCCAAGAGCTAATTATTCTTCATCTATGTGCTATTGCTTCAGAACATCAATGATCATGGCTCTCCATGATTTTCTGTCTTTTTGTTATCTTTCTTAAATCTTGTTACTCCATTCATTTATGCAAGCTTGCTAGGTAGGCTATGCACTGTTTTCCTCTGTCCCTCTTGCCTTAAATCTGTTCTGTGAGTATCAAAGTTTCCAAGCCCCTTTCCTCATGTGCCTAGAAATTTCAATTGTTGTTTCAGAATGTTAAGTATAAATGTCCTTTTTGTTTCCATTTTCTCTAAAACTTTGTTGTTGTTCACATGTTTGGTCCGTGATATCCTCCTTCAATAGGACCACATTTCTGTTGCTTCAAGTCTCTTCTTCATCTATGAGGAGATTATCCAGCATTCACTGTCATATAGCAGGACTAAGATTTCAAATATAATCCATTTGATATTTGTAATTCAATCTACTAATACTGAATTCCTGATGAAAGTGCTTGAAAAATATTTTGCTAATTTTTTTTAGTTTTGTATATGTTTAGATTAATAAGAACAGTTTTTGTTTCCTCGTAGCTCATGCTAAAATTGCCATCAATATGAGAACAGAAAATAATGACATAATCATGATACTGGCTTTTCACACTACTATAATAAAAGGTTAGGAAGGAAACTCCCATGAATAATAAAATGAGCAATAACAGTGCACTTGAGAAACCTTTTTTCCTGGTAAATTGTTTTAAGAGAAAGATTTTATAAATTTCACCTAACAGTAATGCTGTTTGGTCAATGAATCATGAATGTTTCCTTATAAGGAAACACCTAATCACACTGTTATCATTACCTGCAATTTACATTTAGTATAGATAGTAAGTCCAAGCCATATTTGTTGACTATTAAAGCAGCTTCACTATCAAGTATTTGTGTTTTCTCCTAATTTGCCAATTATGAAATTTTTCCTGTCATGACCATCAATTTCTGGTGTATACAATCAATTTATAATATCTACTACTTTTTGTAAATATCGTCTAAAACTGACTGCAAATAAATACTTGTATCAGAAACTTGTACTTTTGTTTAATAAAATCTCCAAGTGAAAAAAAACAATGATGTCATGAATGATTTCTGGTATCTAAACACAAAGATGAAGACAGTGAGAATTTCTCTTATTCATTGCAACTATTGATAAATCATTTTAGTCAGTTCATTCCCCTCCCCACTTTCTTTGTAGCATTTTCAGTTTGCCCAAATCAATTGGATGCAAATCTTATTCAATATCTTTTGAATTCTATTTTATAGTTTTCTCACAATAAAAACATAATGAACTTTAACCCTTGATAAATAAATCTTCCTTCCTTTTATGCCATTTGTAAAATACAATAAAAATAGTAAAGTGTAAATAAACTGTTTTTCTTATTTATTCAAATAGAAAAAAAAGCAAATTTCTTTTATTCAACTAAATAACGTTCTTGTTAAACATTCAATTGTTTCAATTTTGAATAGACATGGTCAGATTTTGTAGAGAGCATAAAAGTAAGCAGTAGGATTCCGAGTTTTGTTTTGCATAATGACAATTGAGAATACAAATGCATTATTCTTAACAATAAAAGAAAAATTTGTTTTTTTGCTAGTAAACAGTATATTCAGTTGTAGCTTTTCTGTAACTACTTAAAAGGGAGACAACCTTTATTTTTCAAGGCCAATTGAAAAAGAAAAGAAAATTTCTTCCCTAATGAAATGAGAGCGAATTTGACAAAGAAAATACTCAAGTATTTTAAAATTGTTAATTTCTTCAGTTAGTAATTTTTAGTAATAATCTGATTGCATTATTATGAAGTTAATATCTTTATGGTTTATCTTTTTAGGGAAAAAGAAAACATCAAGATTTGATGCTTGAGGATACAAGCTTTTCTGAGTAAGACAAAAAAAGCAGACCATTGTGCTCAAATGATCTTTTTACATTTCCTGATTAACAGAAAAAAAAGGTGTGTTATTTAATGTGCAGGTTATTTTGGAAACCTTTTGTATCTTACAATCTGTACAAATCTGTCAACTTTTATAGATAGACTTCAAAATTGAAGTTTTCAAATTTAAATTTGTTTCGAATTTAAATATTTTAAAGTAAATACAAATTGAAAACAAATTTGTAAAGACTGTCTTTTTGGATATTTTAAGTTTTTAATTTATACAGAGCCACTTAAACTGGAATTAAATGAAGTAATTTGTATAAAAATGAGTTTGAAATGGAAGAAGATTCAAAAGTTTAAATTACCTATTTTTACAATATATACATTGTTTGGACTGCTATCCTCATTTTTATTGTCATATTCACAATGTTTCAGCTATTGTATACTTTAACCTTCCTCAGGTGATATACATTAGAATTTCAAACTGAACCCTTCATTTTCATAGAGGGATCAGTTTGAAATTCTAACATATATATCACCTGAAGAAGGCCAGAGCTAACAACGACTGAAACATCATTAACGGGACAATAAAGATGAGGACAACAGTCTGAACAATGTAAATAGTGTGAATAGTTACAATATGTCATCTCAGAAATATAGACATATACCCATTTTTATTCTTTTAAAATTTTGACAAAAATTGAATTTTTTAAAAAATTGAATTTTTGACAGTTGGGTACACAAAGCTGTCTAAACTTAAAGTGTCATTAAACAAAGTATTTTCTTTTCCAATCAGTATCACCCCATGCAAGGCAGTACAGTCACTAAGACATAAGGACTTACAGGGTGTAGAGGAACTAGAAACAGAAGCATTAATAATGAGCAGGAAGAGAAAAGAGTAATCAGGAGGACAGTAGATAGCAATTGACATTACATTTAAATTTTGGGAGATTAAAGCTGGCTGGAAAGCATGCAGCTGGAAGGGAGTTCCACAAGTGAGAAGTGCAAGAAAAGAAACTGTTAGTATAGAATTTATGGTTACATCTAGCCAGCTTAACTGTAAATTGATGAGATTGCGCTGCTTACTGTGCTTAAATTCAAAAAGTCTAGGTACTATAGTGAAGAGCTTATTTGAACAATTACCATGAAAGTATTTATAAAAAAGGCAGAGAAAGGCAACCTTATGGCGGTAGGCAAGTGACTGAAGCTTAGCCACCAGATCAGGAGCAATAATATTGCTGATTCTTCTTTGGATCTTATCAAGGAGATCTAGGTATATAGCAGGGGTACCAGACCATATATGGCAACAATATTCTAAGCATGGATGAATGGTAAACTTATTGATATGCAAGATAGATTCCAGAGGAAAAAAAACAGTGAACAAACTCTCTTAGCAGCTGACTTAGCAATGGATTCAATAGAGACTTTCCACTTTATGTCAGCTGAGAACATTAGCCCGAGAAGGCATAACAGGTCACTTTTCTGGAGGTTAGCATCCAAGTACGATCCAATTATTTAGTCTTTAATAGGATTGCAAGTTTTTAATCAGATAAAGTTACCAAGTTTGTAGAGGCATTGACAGGTTTTTGAAGATAGTATTGCAGTTGTATGAGGGTTTTTTTTAACATGAGATAATGTTTTAATTGTATTGTGCTGTATGCTGAGGACCAACAAGTCTTCTGGAGGGGAAAAGAGAGATGGCTTGTCCCGAAAGCATCATGTTGTTCAAGAGTGAAAGAAAACAGAGAGGGTTTGTGCACTTTTTTACTGCTTTATTGAATGTCATATAGTGGGAATCTGAAGATGCACCCTGGCAGACAGGGTGAAGTAATCCTATAAATCTTAAAGTATCACTGGAATAAATTTGGTTATTTTAGGTTTTTATTGGTCTATATGGATTGTAAATTTGATGCCTATAAAATATATAATGATGCCTATAAATTATAATCAAAGAAAAATATTTATTTCAATAAAAATTAAGAAAAAGAAAAAATATTTTGTAGGGTATAGGTCTGACTCCCTACAGAGCAGTTAGCAAACTAGATTACGAACCATTATCAAAGTTCACTTGTTACCTTGTTCAAGCACAGTAAGTAACCAAAAGTTTCTAAGGTGGCTATATTTGCCAAATTTGTCTTTCAGAATCAAAGCATTGAGTAATAAAAAAATGATGACCAATGTGAAGATTTATCTATGAAATTCTTAAGAAAAAAAAGCATAAAACATCATTTCTATGTCAACAAATGCACAAGTGAGAACATCAAACAGAATCAAATATCTTAAAAAAAATATCTGAAAGCCATATTTTGGCTAAGACAGCTGATAAAAAAAAAATAATGAAACAGAAATGAAGATGATACTTACCCCAAATATCGAACCTGATGTCGGACTAAATCTTCATCAAAAGCAATTGGCTTCTTGAAATCATTCGGCTTTTTAGAGAAAAAGAGAAGAAAAAATCGGAATTTTTAAAAAAATGCCTGCAAACTGGTGATTGGTTCAGATTTTATCATGCAGCCATTTGCAGAAAGTGTCAGAGATTAACCTACGCAAAATCCATATTAAAATTGTTATAAGCAAAAAAGCATGAGTAACATTGATTTAATCTTATTTTTATCTCATTCCCTGCACCATTAAAATTCTGGGCGGCAAAAAATGACTAGTTATCTGCCAACTTGGGTCAGAAAAAGAGAAGACAAAAATAAACAAAAATAAAACCAAAAGGAAACATCAATGAATTTTTACACAATATATATATATATATATATATATATATATATATATTGTGTGTGTGTGTGTGTGTGTGTGTGTGTGTAGACTTTTTATTGAATATGTAATGATAGCAAGCTGAAATATAAATAAAAAACATCTTGAACACAGAAAATTTATTTTAATCTCATTTGATGCTGAGGATTTCAATTTTGCTAATTTTACAGTAATCTATTTATTGTAGTGGGAATCTAAATTTAAATTGCAGCGGTACTCTGACTTAAATAGATGACGAGTGGAGACAATCTGTTAGTTTTCTATTGAATAAAGGTTTGAAAACCTATTTAATAACTTAATCTCTCTTTAAAATGTTGGTGTAGAAAATCACCACAAAAATCTACATGCACAAGATGAAAGCAAGAGTTGAGTCATTTTCCTTTAACACATGTGTATGATATGAATGAATGAAGGGGGTGAAAGGTAGTGAAGATAAGAAAGATAAATAAAAATTGACCCTTGGCTTGAAGAGGTCAAGATTGTAGTGTAGAGGGTTACTGTTAAAATGGTTATGATGAATGGGGTGTATGATATAAATAAGAGAAGTGGGTGGTAGGAAGTGAGGATAAGGAGGATAGATAAAGATTAAACTGTGACTTGAATAGGTTAAAAATTGTAGGATACTTTTTCCCCAAAATTAGCAGTTCTTGGGGGAAATAGGGGTCTGAGTGGAATTTTCTCCTTACATTTGGAATATGGAGGAAATGAGGCTGAGCTGACTCCATGTAAGTAGTATGGCATGTCTTAATTGTTACTGGAGAAATTTGATTTATTTGGACTGTCACCCGTGTTCTTTGCACATTTCAGTTCAATATGTTACAATTATTCATGATATACAAATATTTAAACTAATTTCTATATTCAATATTTTTTATGTATTACAAATAATAATACAGTCCAAATTTGAAGAACCAAAGCAATGTTTCTAAATTGAAACTATTTTCAAATATTTTATGCTTATGCTGAACTTTTCATCACCTCCTTGTAAGTGAATATACATTTTTTTTGTGGTGGGGAATATAGGAAATTTGAAAATATTATAAAGATGATTGTGTTTCTACAATTGTAACAGATATTTGGAAACAATTCACTTTGGAACAAATTATGCGTAATCAAAAGTTTTGAATTTTTGGCATGGGAAAATATTTATAATTTTTCAGTTCTGTAAAAATGCATTTAAAGGAAAATGAAAGTACTCAAGGAAAATCGTCCAGAAGAGAGGCAGGAGATTCCAAAGTCGTCTAGAACCCGTGGTTGAAGCCAAAGATGATTTTATTGAATAAATTTACTCTTTAGTGTTTCAAGATAATTTTGTGTAATTTTGGTAAATATATCTGTTAAAATTAGATGTCGCTGCATTTTTTTTTTCCTAAGACAATTTTGTTTTTGTTGAAGTTATTTTATAATGGGGGAAAATCAAAAGATAACTTCTACAGAATTTGAAGTTTTCCTCTCTGAATCAAATTTAGATGCAATCATGGGAATTGGATTAAAACCACTAGGGAATTCGGAAACATTAAAAATACTAGGGAATCTGAAAATATTAAAGTGATAAATTAAACAGAGGAGAAAAAGTTAGGGTAAAATGATAGAAAATAAAATATTTCTTACCTTAATACACCGGATATAATTAGGATTTTTAGATAAAAGATTCTTCATTAGTTCAGCTACGGATACCTGTCAAAGAAAAAAAAAAAACATGGTTTTATTTCAAATAAAAAAAAAATGAATATTACAAAACATGTTACAACATAAATATCACAAAATGAAATATATTTGGCAGAGATATAGGTAAGTTGCATATATGTATATGTGGCCTCTATTAGTTTTGAGTGACCTTGGATCTGCAGCCAAAGAGTTATGCCTCAGCTGCTAATAATGGCACAGCATCTGTTATGGCTGTACAGGCCTACATGAGAGTGACAGTCTTGATTACAATGAATGAATTTGAACACACTCTCCTTTGATGTCACCTTGTTTTCTTTCCATTGAGCACACTTCTCCCCATCAGAAAGCTTTTGAAAGCCTCTCCTTGCTCCAATCCTTAGTGTAAATCATGTTTCAAACATGAGTTATAATTTGTGATATCTTCCAACCTCTTGATGTCAATGTCCCTTTTACAAATGTCCTTGAAGTGAAGATGAGGTCACCCTCATTCTGACATGCCAGTGACCAGTTCTCTATACAGAAGGGCCTTCAAATTTCTCCTGTCTGGCATATGGTGTACATGTCCAAGCCAGCAGAACCAGTGCTGTTGGAGATGGCATAGAGGCAGGGTAACTGGGCATGGATGATAACTATGGCATTTGTAATCCAGTCACAGAGAGTGAATATCAAAAGCACTGAGGCATCTCTCCTGTCTGAAGTAGAGGCACCATGTCTTGCTACCATAAAGCAGCATGCTGAATACGCATGCCTTATAGACTGCAATTTTGGTGTCTAGGGTAAGCTTTCTGTTCTCCCAGGCTCTCGAGTAGTTGCATATATTATATATAAAAACATTAATATTTATTAAAATCTAACTTGGCTTAACCTAGCCAAATAGATATGTAATTGGGTGATTGTGTTGCTCCATTCCCCACAATGTAGTAAGGCCTGTTTGCCTTGAATATGTGCATTCAAAATAACTGAAAATCTGAGCAACATAGAAAAGGATAGAGAAAATAAATACAAAAAAATAAACTAAACAAAAAAAATAAAATCTAACCCCCCCCCCAATAGTCATTCAGATGCAGTAGAAATCATTTTTTTGATTTCTTTGTGTTGTGATTGTAATTTTTCAGCTGGTTGACATTAGTTTGTACCCTCAAGTTAAAACACTCTGAACAGACAATAGCCATCATTTGATATAAACCTAAGCAATTCTAAAAAGAAGTGGACAGAATAGACAAGGTATTTTATAGTGAAGAAAGAATTCATTCACAATATTTACAAGTAATAAAATGAACAAAAACTAAATAAAAAGTCAATGCTTTGAAAATCACTCTCTGCTTGTCGTCTCTACAATCTTTTAGATTTATCAAGCCACTCTCTTTTTATATGCTTATAGTAAATTCTATAGTTTGTCTCTATAGGGTTTTGTCCTCTTGGGTCTCAGAAGTTGCATCGAATGAATAATTGTTACCTTGGAGTATTAGGATTATTTAATGTAAACCTTTACATTCCTACGATTGCTGATGGGCACTTTTAATGTTGCTTGAAATAAATTCAAGTAGGATCAGGCATACATTGTTTTTTTTTTTTATACATCTGTCTATATTTCTGAAATGAGGTATTGTCACTATTTGCACTATTTACATTATTCAGACTTCTGTTATAGACAAGCGTATGGTTGCAAGAAAGAAATACAACAGTAGCAGAAATAGATTTATGTGATTTATTTCAATAGGAACGTGTGATTTTGGGACAGCTACCTTGTGGTATAGTTCATAAGCCAGCTGCCAATCTGGGTTGATCTCTCATAGTAGTTCTCACTGGTTGGCGTGGCACTCCTCCTGCTGACTGCTGCTGACTTACCGTGACAGGTCTCTTCCCTGGCCTCCTGTTGACTGCTATTGTACTTCACCGTGTGACCCCTTTTATGGCATTTTTTATGGCTTAACAGGCTTGAAAAACGATGCGAGTATAATTAGGAGGGAAGCATTTTTATTGGTCGAAAAATAGAAACACTTTAAAATATTATTTTATTTTTTGACCAGAACTCGTGTGTCGGGCCTATCGTAAAACGACGATAATGATCATTTTGTGATGGGCCTTGTCCGATTTCATCCGGCTCTCGCTCTTGAGTATGTTAGTTTATTTACCTGCAAATCAGCTGAGATATGTCTTATTTTATTTTATAACACTGTCCTTATCTTTATTTTCATATTTATGTTTCATCTGTTATACACTCTGACATTCTTCAAGTTCCACATGCCATGCCTTTTCTGGATATCTCAGTCTCAGTTAATTTCCTTTAGTAACTCGACTCTCCAAGGTTTTGCTCACCTCTGCTATGGCTAAGCCCCCAAGGACACATGGCACAGTGGATAAAAATGTTGGTTGAAGTAATCCAGTGACTTGAACCAAAGAGTTGTGAGTTCAATACCTGCCCACAGCAGAGGTGGACAAAAAACTTGGAGAGTTGAGTTACTAAAGGAAGTTAATTGAAACTGAGATATTCAGAAAATCTATCCTCATGGACTAAATGAAGGGCTTGGTTTGAAATTCCAGCGTATATCTCCTGAAGAAGGCTGGAGTGTACAATGGCCGAAACATTGTGAATATAACAATAAAGATGAGGACAACAGTTTGAATAATGTAAATAGTGTAAATACAAGTTCTAATTCTCTATAAAGGCATGAAAAGCAAATAATTTAGAACTTTGTTTTTTTAAGTCTTACTGTTTGGTAAGCCAATATACATCATTCATATATCTGATATTTTCCAAAGGTTTGATAATTAATAGAAAACATGTCAATTAATCAAACTGATATTTTCCAGTAGTGAACCACCATGTTTAACAATTTAGCAAACTAGATTATGGACCATTATCAAAGTTCACTTGTTACCTTGTTCAAGCACAGTAAGTAACCAAAAGTTTCTAAGGTGGCTATATTTGCCAAATTTGTCTTTCAGAATCAAAGCATTGAGTATGAAAAGAATGATGACCAATGTGAAGATTTATCTATGAAATTCTTAAGAAAAAAAAAAGCATAAAGCATCATTTCTATGTCAACAAATGCACAAGTGAGAACATCAAACAGAATCAAATATCTTAAAAAAATGTATCTGAAAGCCATATTTTAGAACTTTGTTTTTTTAGTCTTACTGTTTGGTAAGCCAATATACATCATTCATATATCTGATATTTTCCAAAGGTTTGATAAGTAATAGAAAACATGTCAATTAATCAAACTGATATTTTCCAGTAGTGAACCACCATGTTTAACAATTTAACAAATTTTCTAATTCCTCACACAGCAAATATAAAGTGTAGCTTGTTGACATGTCTCTTCATTGTTTCCATTTTGTGTTCTCATGTCTCTTGTAATTATTCTATTATGTCCCACGCATCATGAATACTTAGACTTTATAACTTGTCTTTTATGGGATTTGTTTGCTGTATTTCTACAAATTGATGATCCATTGTATAGACAATATTTAATTAGTAATCCCCTGGGTTATGTAAAAATAGTAATTAGTTGACTTATCTAAAGTGAACAGGTTCATTGTCTGGACCAATTTCTTTGTTGGACTCTTTAATGATGTCTGGTAAGGCACTGAGGTTGCATGCATTATTCTGTGACTAAAAGATAATTCCAAATTCACGACTACTAAACCCAATCATATTTTCATAAAATTCTCAGCTAATCTGGGTATTTACCAATCTCCCAATAAGGCAGAGTGTGGCAGAAGGCTGATTTCTATGTGGAGCATTTCTGAGGCCGTAGGCTCAGGCAAAAATTTCCTCGTAGACCCACATTAATGGGGTTGGGTTTGTCTACCCCCTCAGACAGGACTCTGTCCTTCAGCATAGCCTGGTCTGGGTTCCTCACTGCCTGAAGGCAGAGAGTTTGACAAGTTGCAGATTACAATTGCAATCTGTTCAAATTCTAAGCCAATCTGTGCTGCAAATGTTTTGTAGAGCTTTTCTCTTAGGACTTTACTCCTGAAACTGTCATGCACATTCAATAGCCACCGGGTTTTGATTATGGTTAGTGTGGTCTTGGTGCAAAGGGGAAAAAAAGGAGTTAGCCATAGTCAGGAGCATTGAGTCAATTCAAATCATCCTTTCCTTAGCTGCATAGAATGTGCTTCACCAAGGCTACATACAACCTTTGCCTAACTTTTATATTTTTCTCTCATAGGTGAGAGAGGAGGCTTTAGTTGTATTTGTTACTATTTACTTGTCATCTGACCTCACATATTGCTCAATGGCATCTATCAGTTTCATAGAGGCCACATTTAATTCTTTTAGGTCTTGGTTTCTTTAGCACTCGGGTATTACTATTGGGTTGGTACATAATTATCAGGCGTTTTAAACAATATCTATAATGAAAAAAGAAACTTAACAATTCAACAATATCATTTTTAAATGATTATTCTGGAGTGTATGATTATCGACACACATTTTTATAACCTGAAAATAAAATATTTTTTTATAAAAAGGTAAACAAAATAGCAATTTTTATAAACAAATAACTTGCCTACAAAAACGCCTGATAATTATGCACCAACACAATACCTTAGAGCCCCACCGTTGCATACTAGACCTGTCAATAGTCATCTATGTGCTTTTTGTTCCTGTAACTCAGCAGTTCACCATTATACTCATTCACAGATCCCCACCCTTCCAAAACATTCTGCACTATTGTCATGGAAGGTTGAAGGGGTGAATATTTGGCCTTGCCAAAATATTCAACATGTCCACAAAGAAAAATAATAAAGCAGATTTTAGGGACATTATTAACAAATACAAATATAAAATAATGTTAATAATAATAATGAATATAATAAATAAAATAAAACAAATAATAACATTAAACCCCAAAAAATAATAAAAGTTCTCCCAGAATGCAACAGAAACATTTCCTGCCAGAAATCAGAATACACAGGAAAAGACTCTGAATTGTGTCTCTTTGCTAATGACCATTGGAAGATCAAAACATCTATATCTTCTCCTCAGGACATTGCTTGTTATAATATGAAGTGACTTTTTCCTTTTATCACATGCAACCTTAAAACACTTAACTAAAATGCGCACACACACTAGTACACAGAAATAAATAAAATTGTATGATTTTAATTTACAATTTAACATTCTTTTAATGTTATTTCTGTGTTTGTTTTTATTAATGTGAACATGAGGCTCTTCCTGATGGGATGATGTGAGCGACCCCACAAGATAAAGGACAATAAAAATTGAATATTTGAAAATTGTTGATGTGATTTTCGAAAGAATGTTTTCAGTTCAGTTTCTTCTTTTGACATCAACATTTTCATTCTACTGGAATTAAACTATGCAAGGGAAGACATTTTTTTTTAATATCAAATGACTTTTTAATATGCTGTCTTGTATTCATACTAAAAACACAGATTGAGTAGTAGACAAGAATCTGTGTAAATATCTAACACAAATGATAAATTTGATTTGAAAGTGTGATAATTGAAGCATATAAAATTTCTAATTGAAGGACTGCAAATACTTAAAAATTGAAACTTCACAAATTAAAAATTTGATTTAAGTTTTAAGTGTGCTGCAAATTTTATCTTTCTCTGTAAATTATAATTAAATTTTAAGTTCATATACACTCAGCCAGGTTATTTTATTAATAATTTTCAATAAGAAGGTTTTTATTTTGTCTGAAACTGAATCTGTTCTAATAATGTGGTTTTTAAAATTTTTTTTTTATTTAAGCATTTCACCCCTAGCAAGGTGGGAGTGCCACTAGCACACAAGGGGTTACAGGAGAGTGTTTGAGAAAAGGATATAGAGAAGGATGGGGGTCAGGATCAAGGCATCAGAAGATGTCGATTGACATTACATTTGAATATTTGAAGACTATAGCTATCATGGAAGCAAGTAGGAAGAAGGGACTTCCACTGTCAGGAAGAGAGAGATATAAAGTTACTTTCTATATCTTGGGAAGATATATTCCATAAGAGAAATGGCACCATAGACTTGTGAGCTGCTGGGGGTGGCAGATTCAGTTTCGTCCAGGCCATTTGGCCCAGGTTAAAAAAAAAAACTGCTTGGTTTGGCTGCTGTAAACAAACTGAATGACTGGCTACTTTCATCATTGTATGACCCATCTCCATGAAAGGAAGATAATCACTTTCTGTATTCTTACATCACCATGCAGAGGTGATTCCTAAGTTTTATGCCACAATGCAATCTTCAAATCAATTCTTGATCTCATTATTGCATGAAACTTGCAGGCACTATGCAGTGTTGATTTCTATGTCCACACTGTTTACATCTGTATTTTTCCTTGTCTATTACTGAACTAGATTTTCCCCAAATTTATTTATGGAACTAACAGAAAAAATAATTTAATTCAGGTTTTTATCCTCCTTTTGCACTTCCTGTATATGCTTTTAGGGCACATGGCTGAGTGGTTAGAATGCTTGCATTCTGACCTGAAAACCTGGGTTCGAATCTCACCATGGTCGATTTGTCAGGAAGGAAACTTCTATATGTTATAGAACTGGAGGAGGCAATCCCAACATGGGGCACCTTTGGAAAGTGCCTGAAAACCAAACCATGGGTTGACCCAAGCCTTGTGAGTGAAATTGGGTAGATGGAACCCTTGGAGGCTGTTGATAGCTTTGCTAGCATGTAGTCACAAGTCATTGTGGCTGAGGGCTTAAGCGTGCTGGCCTTGTTCAAATTGTTGATCATGCTAGATAACATGCTCTTTCCCAGAAACTGTAACTAAGGTCTACTCAGCATAGTTGCAGTATAAACTAGAAGTGGGCTCTGTGGGTGTTGAAAAAAAACCCACAAATGTGCCTGAGCAAGCGTCTGCAATAGGGCTTGGCTAGCCACCTTAGTAGACGCGTATCCTCAGATACGAGTTACCAGCTATACATACATATGCTTTATTTAGATTTCTTTTTGGCCAAGATACAAAATTTCCTCGTCTCTGAACACAGAAATTAAAAGTGATAAAATGAAATTAAACGGAGATGAAGCCAATAAAACACGACAAGTGCGCATTTACCACTTGTGAAGAATTAGAGATTGGCTTGGTTTACAAAAAAGACATTACAAAGTTCAAAGTTGGGCTGTTTGAATTCTCTTTCAAGTTGACTCCAGGGAGAAGATGTGGCCAATTTCCAAGATAGAATTGATCTCTTCAGTTTGCTCCATATACAACTTAAAAACAGAATATAAGACAAGAGATTCACTTGAGTAATAGACTCCATCTGTATCTATGGAGTCAGATGGGAGTGTCTGAAATGTGGGGTACTGGGGTTGTAGGAAGTGGGAGAGAGTGACAGGGCTTGGCAGTGAAGAAGAGAAAGGCAGAAAATAATAAAAAAGTGATTTTATATTTGCTCAAAATGAATCAGACTTACTGGGTGAATAAGCTCTGGTACATTACCCTATTTTACAAGTGGACAATGAAGAGTAACACTTATTTTCTCATAGATTTCTTTTGTTGTTTTCTACATTTGATTCAGTTTGCAGTTTCTTTGTTGGGGGGGGTGACAATTTATTGTTAGAGTTTGAGCTTAGTTGCTTAGGTAACATTTTGAAGGGAGGGAGGAACGGGACTGGAAGGGAGGTTATGAGAGGGATACCTGGAGGGGAAGGGGAGGCAATGAGAGGAGGGAACCAAACAGGAGGGGAGCTGATGCGAAGGGGGACTGGGACTGGGATTGGGAGCTGAAGCGGGGTGACGAGAGGGAAGAATGGGAGAGGAGGGGGAGGTGACAAGAGTGGGGATGGGACTGAGAACAGGACTGAAGGGGAGAAATAGAACTGTAGGGGAGGTGATGAGAGGAGGGAACAGAACAGGAAGGGAGATGATAAGAAGGGGAACTGGGAATGGGGACTGAAGTGGGAGGTGATGAGAGGGAAGAATGCGAGTGGAGGGGGAGGTGACAAGATGAAGGAATGGGACTCCAGAGGAGGTGATGAGAGGAGGGAACAGAACAGGGGGGGTGACAAGAGGGGGGAAGGACTGATAACAGGAGTGAAGGAGAGGTGACAAGAGGGAGGAATGGGACTGGAGGGGAGTTTAGAGGGGAGAGTGGGATGGAAGGTGGACAAAAACCAGAGAAAAGAAATTTGTTAAGGCACCAGATACAGAGAGTGGGCATGCAGATATATGGTGTTTTCTTCTTGCTCTTGGATATATGCATAAATTATAGTGCCAAGTCAGTAACAGACTTGTAATTCTATACTCTTTCGTTTTTGCAGTCAGCTAGTTTCTTGATTCCTGTTATCTAGTAACTATCTTCTGGCTGAAGTGTTCTTTGACCATTTAATCTTTAAAGAATACAAAATGCAAAAAGAGTTGGAAAGAATGAAAGCAAAGAGAGTGATGCTGAATGGAGAAGCAACAATTTTCTGTTGTGTTCATTTGGCACTTACTTTAAACTGTGAGCCGGCAGTAGCTGGACGTTTTAAGGATGGGCGGACAGGATTTCCTGAAATTCAAATCAAATCAAGGTTTTTGAATAAATAAATTGGACATTTTTTTTTCTTTTTTACACATGTAATTAAAAACTAAGCTATTTGAAATTAACTATTTTATACTTTTTTTTTTTTACTATTGTTCACCCTATAAAAGGCCCAAGTGCCACTCAAGGTAGAGGGTTACTATGTGGTGTTGTATGAGAGTAAGAAAAGGCAAGAAGTGCTGTTCATGTTATGTAGAAAAAATAACAGTTAACCCTAGACTTGAAAAGTCTAAGACTGTAGTGATCAGGCTAGCATCTTGCTAGGAGTCAGTTCCACAAAGCAACATTTCTTTGAAAGAAGCTGCCAAAGTGGAACTTATTTCTTACTAATGAAATATGAAGGGGGAATGAGGATGATTCATCCACATGTATATGGTATGGTGCATTCCAGCCACAAAGGTCAGGACTAGTAGAACCAAGGAATGTAGCTCATCAGAGCACTTGCTATGGAAATAGTGATAAAGTAGCAAGAAACTTATTTTTATCTTATTAGAACATGTCTTCTTTCTGAGAACCATTTTGTTTTTCTCAACTTTAAAGTCAACCCCGACACTGTAAAAGTTGCCATTTTATGATGACTTCCTAGAATGTATATGGTATGGTGCATTCCAGCCACAAAGGTCAGGACTAGTAGAACCAAGGAATGTAGCTCATCAGAGCACTTGCTATGGAAATAGTGATAAAGTAGCAAGAAACTTATTTTTATCTTATTAGAACATGTCTTCTTTCTGAGAACCATTTTGTTTTTCTCAACTTTAAAGTCAACCCCGACACTGTAAAAGTTGCCATTTTATGATGACTTCCTAGAATTAACTTGTATCATGACATTTACATCTTTAATGGGACAGGCTTTGTCAGCAATTATGAAGTCAGTTTCATTATTTCTCCATTTGGGATTTACCAAGTCCATTTACAGCTGCTTTGCTTTTGAAAAATTCTGTTTGTAATTGTCATTTTATATGTTTCTGATTTCAAACATTCCTGTATTAGATTCTCCTTGTCCTTCCATTTGCATTGGAATTGATCATTAAAATGGTGTAAATGAGTTTCCCTTCATTCATCACATTACTGATGTCATCATAAAACCTTTGTGAGTATTTAAAGATCAAGTGAAACGCTTACTCTATGCAAGAATCTAAAATACTGGTAACAATTGCTATGGCCCAGTGGTTCTTAAACCTTTTGAAGTCAGGGCACACTTGAAATCCTGCCAATGGTTGTAGGCACACTATATACTAATTTTGGAAAAATATGTTATAATGAAGTCAAATATAGCAGAAAAGAAATAATGCAATAAAAAAATATAAAATGAAACATAACTTAAGTTTATTCATTCTTGTATTTATGAGAAACATGATCCTGGTGAGTCTTAGCAATTTCTTCAATGTTTGGTATATTTGATAGGCAAACTCTTATTTCTTTGTCAATACATTGAAGAGTTCCTCTCTTTTTGCACTTAATTGTGGTGAGGGAAAAAATGCTTAAGTCACATAAATATGAATGAGATGGGTACTGCTATATAAGAAAGTAAATATATTTATTTCTTATATCTGGACACATATTTCTCTGGAATGCTAGGACTCACCTAGTCATCTTCCAGGGTGACCCAGTGAACCCAGGCACACCATTTGAGAAACACTGCTTCAGCCTATGGTTTATCCTAATAGAAAGTTGCCATTCTGAAAATGTCAATACTGACTTATTATTTAGCTCTCTGGTGTACATAGACACAGTTGCATAATTCTATTCACCAATAAATTCTACATCAACATCAGAAAACATCCTGCAACTACATAAGTTTTGGTGAAGAGTCACCTTAGACAAGTGATTCCTAAACTTGTTTTTTCTCTGGGCATCATTTTCAGAATGAAAATTTGTGCATGCCTCACTAAACTTTATGTGATAAAAAGTACATTTAAAAATAAAAAAACAGAGATGATTAAAGGGAGATAACCACAGATTCTAAGTCAGAACATTATCATTGATAACTCTCTCCTCCAATTTGTGAACCCTAGTTACTATACTCTTAATACGTGATATAATGCAAAAATATCACAATGTTAAAATCAGTCAATAATTATTTATAACTATTTATACTGGGAATCATGCATGCAATTATGAGTAATCCATAATAATATTTAAAATTTTGAAATCATATTTATTTATAGCATATGAAATTTTGAAACTGTTTCTAAATCTTTGAATCTCTTTCAATCATTCCGCCTAACCTGCTATCCTCTTCTGGCACACCACACCATGTGGGAACCATTGCCTTAGACTTTTGCATTTAGCATTACCATTTTGGCAACCAATAAATAACACTGATATGTAGAAAGATTATAAATCTGTTATGCATTTATTTGATTAAAGTACAACATGCTGATATACAATATAGACTTGGGCTTGAAGAGACTATTTTGGTAATAGTAGATATAAACAGATCAATAGAAACAGAATGTGTGCAATGTTTGCTAAAGAATAGTAAAAGAAATAGATTTTAAAGAATTGGCAGATCATTATGCCTCTTTGGTAGATTCAGTATGCAATTTTTAATAAAACTATTCTATCACTTTTGCAGTTCTGCATATAAAGGAATGTGTGTTAGTGTTTAAACAATAGAATTAACTTACCTTCAGGAAACAACTCCTTGAGTAAAGGGTGTCTGCATTTATACATTGCCTGAGACAGATCTCTGAATAGCAAGTCATTATTTTTGTCTAAGAAGCCTTCGACTTTATATGTCACCTAAAAGTGAAAAAATGGGAAATTATTTTTATAAAGAAAACAACATTCATTAAAAACAACATTATGACTACTCAGAATAAACAGTTCAGTGTGGATAGCCTTGGCCTCAAATTAATGGCTGAAGTGCTCTTCATACTTAATGTTAAACAACCCCAACAGACATGTAGAATAAAACCTATTTCCACAGTAGAATCTCCCAAATTAAAGTCTACAAGTATGGTACAATATTCCAGTTATTTATTTTTTTGATTAAAATGCTTTTCTTTGGTATATCCTTCAGTCAGTTATGTGCTATGCGTGATACATGCTTAAGCAATCCAGTCTCTTTCAATACATGACTGATGAGGCAGATTTTTTCCTGCAGTAGCTTGTCATTTCTTTCTACCATAGACCAGTTGCCATCTAAGGCTATAGAACTCAGTCTGTCCTGCTATTTACTCATAGCTGAGGGGAAAAGAAGAAGATTCATATCTTTCCCAAGGGTATTAGCATGGAAGTGAATGTAATGGATTCGACTGGAATTAGAACTCCGCTTTTCGATTCCTCAGTTCATGCTGCTAATTAAGCTGCAGGAATTTGGTTCTAAGTATCAGTCTCAGAAGAGGTTTGAATTTATATCCGGTACTACAGGAGCTTGTTATGTCATGTAGCCATCTCAGTCATTAAAACTTAACATCAAAAATTTCCTATGCTTTTATTTCTATTGCTTTCACATATACTGAGGTATAATGGCCACTCAGGAAAAAGTATTGAAATTTGTAGAACAAAAACGTTCCTTAAGGTTAAAAAATCTTGAAATCATTATTTTCTTTATTCTTGAAAGTAACAACAGTGTTCTTAACAGCAGTAAAAGAGAGAGATTCTTAATTGGTTTCTGGTTACTTACCGCCCCTGCATAGTGTTTTAATCTGAAGGCCTCATGTGGAAGGCTTCTGTCGGACATACTTTTCCTACATCCACGGCTTTCATAATGGGGATGTTCAGAGCAAGTTAAATCAAGTTTTTCTAAGAATGTCAGGTCTGTCACGGTTCCTGGCCGAAGGCACTCTTCATCCAGCATGGCAAGTATCCCCACATTGTTCTGAAGAGAAGGAAGAGGAACAAAAGTAACATTTTGTGATTCTTAAAAGATGAAAAGAACAGACAATTTGGAGAAATTCTTCTGATTTGATTAGAGAGAAGAAAAGAAAGAAAATGAAATTTGTGAGATGCAAAGATAAAATGAAAAAACAAAGATCGTGTTCAAGACTTAGAGAATCTAAATTCCGAGAATCTTAGAGAAAATCTTCACAATATTCCATATGAATGTGACTTTCATTTTGAGTCTTTGTCTTAATTTCTGTCCCTTTATTTTATCTCAATATTTGGTTGGCGTTTTTAAATTTACTTTTGCTACATTTCCAATTTTTCCTTCAGGATCTTTAACTTTGAATTTATTTTTCTACACAGAAATGTTAACCTTGTGTGCATTTTCTGAAATGTCACTGAAATTAACTGTTAACTCTGAACATTGATTTGTTTGGTTTGGTTTATGGCATATCAACCTCAATGGGTTATTTAATGGTGACAACATTTTTATTGCTGGTAATATTTTTTTCCAAAAATGTATTGATGGTAATATTTTTTCAAAAAATATTTTGCTGGTAATAATGTATTGCTGATAATAATTTTTTCTTCATAAATTCATTGCTGGTAATAATTAAAAAAAAAAAATGGTAATAAAACCAATTTTTACATGTTTTGACCCCAGTTTGGGGGTTAACTATTTGCCCATAGCTGGGACCCTAACAGGTGCTAACAGTCTGGGTCAGGGTGGACCTGGAAACACCAGCAATTAAGAGGTGGTTCCACACTCCACAAAATCTCTGGATTAGAGGCCTTGCTGTTAGATGTCGTTTATCATCCAGAAGAGGAACCTTGATTCATTTTTATTTCAGTTATTTTACAAATTTGCATCAAGTTGCTTTTAATAAAAAAAGTTGCTGAAATTCTGTGCTGAATTTGCAAGTCATTTAAAGAACAGTTTTGTCTGTGTTTTTTCCTTGTTACACTCCAAGTCTGTAATATGAATTCACTTACCTTTTCTATTAAATCACATATCACAGCATTATTGAAATAATCCACATGTATCCACTCAATTCCCTGAAAGGAGAGAAAAGATGATTTGTTTATTCACATCAATGTCAAAAGAAAAGAAAATTTTATGAAGGTAACAGTTGTCAGCACCAAAGAAAAAAAATCTTATAAGAAAGTTTGAATTTAGATTCAACCACTTTTCATTTTATAGGAATGTCTCTTTTATAAATTCGATTATCATTATACAAAGAGCTTTTTGGGTAGAATTAAAGGGAAGTCATTATTCCATAGTTCTTGTTGGACTGTTGTCTTCATCTTAACATTTCAGCTGACATTTTTCCAATCTTCCTCATGCATATATTGTATAGCAAGTTAACACAAGCCATTGGCTATCTGTCTATATTTCTGAGATGAGGTATTATGTACATTTACATTATTCAGACTACTGTCCCCATCCTTGTCACCACATTTATTACGTTTCGGCCATTGTACACTCCAGCCTTCTTCAAGTGGTTGGGATGTCGGACTGATCCCTTTATTTCGCTCACTGGGGTAGACTGTTCTAGTTCCACATGCCATGTTTAATGGATGTTAGTTATCAGTTATCTCCTGTTAATTTTCCTCTGAAAGTTCTCCATTGCCTTAGCCGAGTATTGAACTCACACTCTTTGGGTCTTGGCTGTAGAAAAGATAGGTTAGTATTAGCAGTGGCTGCTGACCAGTGCCTACAGAAACTCATGCTGCCAAGAGAAACCCTCTCTTACTTTTCCATCACCAAGAGCACTTTTCTATAGCAACATTGTAATAGTTTTGTTTCTTGTGAACTCTCAGGTCAAAAGAAGGTGTACCTTTCCACAATCAAACTTTTTATTTCTAAGAAATAAATGTTTCATAAAATTTCAGTCCATCTTGCATCTGACTTTCATTTTTTCTGTTTCATTGAAAACATATTGAGTGGGGCGTTTATATCTCCTAATGAGATAAAAAGTATTACTTCAGTTGCATCCAGCTTTTAGAATTTGCTGTGTTTAATTTCATAGTTTAGACTCTTAGAAATTTCTGGTATGAAATCACAAGAAGAAAACATTCCAGTTTCAAAACTGTTAATTTTTTTTCTCACTCTTAACACAAGTCCTTTACAGCCTTTATGACTCTGTTGGGTTGGGATTTTTAGCTGCAAAAAGAGTTGAATAAGAAATTACTAATAAGATCAGAAGTATGTGAGGCAAACTGAAGAATATATATGGCTGAAAAACTGTTAACAAAGATGAAGACAGTAGTCTCAGTAATATTGTGAGGAATGGGATATTCAAAACTTCAGAGAACAGGAGTTAGCATCAAAATATGGGATGAAGAAGTTTATCTCTTATTTCAATGATATATGTCTTGATACAGGAAATTTGAACATAATTAGTTGACAGTCTTGACAGATCTCTCATTGACCCAAATGTCATCTTTAAGGAGAATGTCAACAGGAGATATGAACAGAATTGGTTGAGAGTGTTGCCATTGTCCCAAATGTTCCTAAGCAACCCTTGGCACTTGGAGCACTTTCTCCAACTTTAAAATAATTCAAAAGAGGGTCTCAAAATTATCAAAGTCTATTTGATTATTCAACACTGAAATTGTTTAATAAAAAAAATTAAGTCAAATATTTTGTACATATCATTACAAAATTCTGTTAATACTTTATTGATACATTATTTATATTATTCGGACTATTGTTCTCATCTTTGTCGCTATATTTATTACAGCGTTTTAGCCATTGTACACTCCAGCCTTCTTCAGGTGCTTGGAATGTCAAACTGAACCCTTTATTTCGCTCACTGGGGTAAATTGTTCTAGTTCCACGTGCCATGTTTAATGGATGTCAGTTATCAGTTATCTCCTGTTAATTTGCCACTGAAAGTTCTCCACTGCTTTAACTGGGTATTGAACTCACACTCTTTGGGTCCTGTCACTGGATCTAACCAATGCCTTTATCCACTGTGCCAGATTTTATTGATAGTTGTTTATTTTTAGTTTTGACTTTCATACAGAAAATTCAAAGTTATCTTCAATATTTCATTCACTCTTTTCTCTTGGAATCATTTTTGCTTGTGAAAAATTTACTTTGGAAATAATTTGTGAAAGATTTATTTCATAAACTTATTTATAGACAGATGTTAATACATCATAATCCAAAACAAGAGGCATTTGGATAGAGCACAATAATTCTTTTTTAAATTTCTCCAATCGATCCTCCAGATCTACAAATCAACAATTCGCCCTTGCATGGAGTATTGCTGCCATATATGATCTGGAGCCCCTTCTGTTTGCCTCGGGGTTCTTGATAGGCTCCAGAGGCGGATATGCAATATAATTGGCCCTGTTCTGGCATCTCGCCTACAGTCACTCTCTCACAGACGCGTCGTCGCCCCTCTCTGTCTTTTTTACAAATACTTTCATGGCAACTGCTCTGAGGAGCTGCATTTACTGGTTCCCAGACTTCATGAGTTCATGCGCCCTACAAGGCTGGCATCCCACTCTCACCCTTTCACTGTCGAAACTCTTAAATGTAGCCATCTCTTCTACTCCAATAGCTTCATGTCTTGCACCTCTTGCCTGTGGAACTCCCTTCCCTAGTCCAGTTTCCCTGGTAGCTATAATCTCCAACTATTCAAATGTAATGTCAATCGACATCTCCAGTTGCCTTGATCTATCCACTATCCTTCTCCTCATCTTTTCCTCTATCACTCCTTTCTGATCTTGCTCCAAATTTTCTGTAACCCCTTGCATCCTAGTGGCTTCTCGCCTTGCTTGGGGTGAAATGCTTAAAAAAAAAAAAAAATTAAGAACATTTTTTTTGTATTTCATGTTTTAACAAAAAATAGCCAAGATAACAGTAACCAGTCTGTTATAGATGCTGTGATGAATAAGAAGCCATTGTCAAAATGCAAGATAAATAACACAAATGTCCGATGAACAGAATTAATAAAGTTTGCAATAAAAAGAAAAAAACAAAAAGAACAAAAATGAAATGGCAACACTTATTCAAGTAAACAATATATTTAAAGTAAATCAACAGGTAAGAAGGCATAAGAATTCACAAACTATTAGTTGTTGTTTGTACACAAAAGTAAGGTTGGGCAAGTAAACAGAATAGGTCTGTCTAGTAGATAAGGTAGATCTGGATTGAGTTATGTCAAAACACAAGCTTTTCCATTTTATTGGCTAAGAAAAATATCCCAGAATGCATTTTGTGGATTTCTATCTATAAAAGGGGAGGGGGAAAAAGTTTTGCAATCATTCACCTGTCCTGTGAAATCAACACAATGTGTAATATATTGTAAAGTGAAAATACTGCATTGTTAACATCATATTTTCACACATGAAAAGAAATGTCAGAAAAATTATCAGAATGGCTGATATATATGATATGATATATTTAAACTCTAAAGGGATTTTTCTTTTTTTAAGGTGAGGAATCATGATTATATTTTGATTTAATCCAACCTTTGATCTCCTCGTTGTTGTTACATATTATAGAGACAAGGCTCCAAAAATACCCCATTTGTTATTCTTTGGGATGATAGCATATTAGATACAAATGTTGATTAAAAAGTTTTGCAGCTGTTTTAGTGGTTGTAAGTTCAATCCCTGTATCAGGCAGTGAAAAGTCTACGTTAGCAGGAATGTGGAAGATATAGCATCATAGGGGTAACATAAAAATCAGCAAGGTATACAAGATCCACCCCAATAAAAGAAAAATGAATATCTGAAGATGACCAGAGGGTATATGGCCGCAATGTATCTGTAACAATGAGAAATGAGAACAATGGCACATGGCCCAGTGGATAAAAGTGTTGGTTGAGTAATCCAAAATGTGACTTGACCCAAAGGATTGTGAGTTCAATATCTGGCAACAGCAGAGGGAACAAAAACTTGAGAATTGAGTTACTAAAGGGAATTAACTGATACTGAGATATCCAAAAAAGGCATGGTACACGGAATTAGAACAATCTACCTACGTGGACTAAATAAAGGGTTCAATTTGAAATTCCAACATATATAATCCAAAGACAGTCAGAGTGTACAATGGCTGAAATGTTGTGAGGATAACAGTTCGAATAATGTAAATAGTGTAAATAGTCACAGTACCTCATCTCAAAAATACAGACAGAAACAATAGTTTGATTAAATCAAAGTTTAATGTTAAGATCTGTTAAAATTAACTAATACACATTGGCATTCCTTTGTCCATTATATCATAAAAGATTAGTAATAAAATCCAGTTCTGTTTCATATGACGTATACAATCTGTGTTCAGTTTGGTTTGGTTTATTTTGTTATACAACATATCAACCTCAATGCGTTATTTAATTCCAACAAGACTCTTAGGATAGGTTTGTATGAATATAATATGTATTCTTTGTGAGAAATCAGTTTGTAGATCAGGTTTCATTGGCGTATTTTTACAAAAAGGGTTTTTGTTTTTGTTCTGAGTCAAATGTATTGTTTGTAATATTTTTTCCTTCAAAAATGCATCACTAGTATTTTTACTATAAAAATCTATTTTTGTACTTTCATAGTGTTTTGACCCCAGTTTGGGGGTTCACTATTTGCTCACAACTGGGACCCTAACAGGTGCTACCACTCGAGGTTAGAGTGGACCTGGGAACAACAGCAGCCGATCAGAGGCCTTGCTGCCATATGTAGTTTATCATCATACCCAGGATTATATTTTATTCATAAACTTTAGAGTCAGTTTCAAACAGAGAAGTTGAAGCTGCTTAACAAATTTTTATAATAATACGAGGGGGTGAGGTTTTTTTTGAAAGTTCCTGATGCCAGAAAGGGTCATTGAATATTTTGCAATAAAATTATCAAAAATTGGGCAGTGTTCAATATTCTTTTATATGACTGTAGATATTCATACCTGAATATATGTACTGCATTCTTTAATGTGAATTTGTGAGGGTGATGGTAGACAAGTGTGTGTATGTGCACATGAACACATAGCAGTGTTACAATAATCAGCTTAAATGGAAAGGTGAGAAAACCAACAATAAAGAATGTATGTTGTT